AGGAGAATAGGGGACAAAGGGGGTATGGGGGAAGAAAAAGGGTGGCATGTAGGAGAAAAATGTTATTTTTGGTCATTAAGCATTAAAATTCTTTCAAAAACAAGAACCCAAAATGTTATTTGCCTTGCATTTAGCATCTTCTGAGATAATATGTTGTGTAAGCTGTCAAAAAGGTGAGCAAGATGAGCAAGGCAGAATACAAAAATTTCAAAACAAAGGAATGCCTAAGGATTATGCAACTAAATGACTAGTATAATGTTTTGAGTATCCTAATTTACACAGCAAGAGACGATCGAGCAGGACATGATGGGGCGAGAGTTGGGAAATAAAGGTTTAGGAAGCAGGAGGTTCTGACCCCCCTGCCTCTTCCCCCTCCCCCCACTGTATAGAAAGCAGCATTTACATTGGCTGGTGACAGAATGTTGACGGGCAAGTTGCATGAGGAATTTGTTAAAACAATGTTGCACTTGGTGCAGCAAGTATGCTGCTCTTGGTTCAGAGAGTATAACTGTGTTTGAAATAAAAGAACTTGTTACAAAGAACCATAGGCCAGCAATGCATACTAAGTGCTACAAAGGCATTGAAAAGCAAATTGCACTGTGAAAGATTACTGCATAATATTGATGGCATTCAGCAGTCTTGTTTCAAATGAAAGTTCTGTTGTCACTTCAAGTATGCTGTCACTTCTTCTCTGAGATCAAAAATCTCTTCAGCAGACGGCATTTTGTCAGGATAAAGGAAGTAATTCTCCAGTTGAACAACGGTCTGAAGCTGTACATGAGCCAGTTGTTCATTCATCTGTTTAACAAAGGTATAAAACTGTTCACCATACAGAAGCTGCATGGGCACAATCTCTACAACATCAAAAGCTGACCCTTCATTGGCAAGCATTGTGAGCTGGTGAAGAACCTCTTCAAGATAAGCAGCATAATGTTTATTGTCACCATGAAATCCCTTGCACACCAAAAATCTTTGTGGGCTTGACAGCTGTGACATCACTGGTTTAACAATTGTTAACTTGTCAAATATATGGTGGAAAATGTACAAAAGGCCCACACTGAATCTTGTCAGTGTCTCACAGACACGGCAAACAAACATTCCACCATCTCCCAACAACTTTAGGGCAGTGATGCACAGAGAAACCAACTCTCTTTTTGCACTCAGTTCATTACTGTGGTTTAGGTCAGCAAAAACAAGATTGATTTTCTGCTCATCACCTATCTGGGAGACCCTGTTCACATGCTGTGAAATGTCTTCAAACTGAAAAGCAGTTTCCTGATTAATAGTTGCTAATGGTGTTCCACTCTCAGCTGAGATGCACAGGCGAATTGAGTTGAATCTAGCACGCTTTTCTTGAAGGTATTGTCCCAGATAATCAAGACTGTCACTAAGATTTAACACAATTCCAAAGTTATCACACTTTGCCATTTCTGTGAAGAAGATGAGGTTATCAAGATTTCTCACTTCTGCTTCACCACCCTTGGACATCTTGACAATATTTGAAGGACACACTTTGTCATTTATAGAAATGAGGTTGTCGACATTCTCTTCCCTTAGGATTGTAGCCTGCTGATGTGCATCTTGTAACTTGCTAATATAGAATGGCGTACAGAAACGTGAATTCAAAACAGCATTTAGACAAGCTGCAGACTGAGGTTTCCAGGTGGCAGCCATGACCTCTGGTGTGACACACTCTGCCCCTTCAAGCCACACTACTTGATCATAGTGAAGTGGAATCAGGGGAACTTCATTGTAAACTTGAGAATAATCTGCAATATAATTGTGAGATGAATTCACACTTCTATCCACTTTGACTTGTTTTAAGAATTTCTGAACTTATCAGAATGATAAACTCCAAATAAAATTAGGAGTATTTATTAAATTAGGTGTATTTATACACATACCGTAGTAGAAATTGAACCATTCAGGCAATGCAATTCTCACAGCTAACCTCTTGTCTTTAACACAGTTGTCCCAAATATTGCTTTGGTAGTTCACTGAGTTAGTTAAAATGTGCCCCAGTTCCTAATTAGAGCAGCATTAAGCTTAACATGTATATGAATTCTGTATCTAATCTTGTGCTTTGAATGAGACCTTAAGTTAGAAGTGATAAACACCTTTAAACAGAAGGACTAAAATCTGGATATGTAAATTACCTAATATCACAGGCTTGCAATGCATGCAAAAGGTTACAGATGTACAGTCATCTATGCAGCACATGTATTATGCTTAGTAGTGACAAACAACTGGGAACACAGGATAGTTTGTTCAATCAAGCGAAAACCCACATGTAGACCTCTTAACATACCTTGCAAACTCTTCAGCTGAGTAGGATGAAATTGGAACTGTCCATCTGCTAGAGTTTTTGCGAGCCACTCCTGGTTCAGATTCTCATTTCTCTCATTGTAACTTCCCATCTGATGTCGACCATTAAAGCTCTCTCTAAAAGGTACATTATTTGTAGGTCCTCTGGTGAAGCTCAGTTGTGTCCCATCTAAGTAAGCACCAGCTACAACATGTTCCTCTTCGTTGATTGGTCTTACGTGAAATCTTTCTACAAAGTTTTCTACCACAAGCTGACGAAGTTGAGCATGAGCCTTCCATTCCCTTGAACTCATGTAATAAAACTGTTTGATGTTTTGATCAATGGCTTCCATTTGAAGACTAGTAAAGTACTCCTCGCAGGCTTTTAACCTCTCCAGAAACGTGCACGGGATTGAACTCAGGGAAAACAGACTGGAGGATGGGCAATGTTCACCATATCCTTCACATACTTTTTCCATAACACTGCTTGGAATTTTCTCTTTGCCAATAAATGCAAGGCATACAACATAGGCCTCTGAATTACCTGACTTGCTGGTACCTAAACCAAAAACACATATACATCCTGTGTCAACAAACAGTTCCTAATGATGTATTATTTTTTTACAAATTATGCAAAATCTTGGACTGTGCATGTATATCCTATTTTTGCTCATAAATAGTCTATCAGTTTAACTACAGAACCGAGAATGGATTGCTACCTTGGCAGAGCTCAACTCTTTCCACTATTCATTAAACTGTCCCAGATGAAATGTGATATTACTTTGGAAACCTGGGCTTTTATTTCCAAGGACTTGTCTCTTGATCAGACAAACCAGTAATACTTATCCTTGAGGCAGGACACTACCAGGAAATAATCCACAAAATATTTACTGGTCACTCGTCTGTTAGATGAACCTGTGTCTGAATCATTATGGTGTCTACCTGGTTTAATGACTTGGATTTCTTGAAACAAACAAGCAAGAAGATACAGAAGGGATATCATCTGGTGCTCGAATGCAGTGAACATTTTGAACACAAAGTTCCCTCCTTGGCAAAGCAGGTTTATGGCAGCTACTGCCTCACAGAAGATCAGTTGTCCTACAAGGCTTTCCTGCTCATCTGGTTGATTAGCACAGTTTATACTGCCATCAGCTGTCACCTAAAAAGAAAGAAACCATTTTATGAATTTTGTTATTCATCTATAGTAGTGTCCAAGAAGCTATACTACCCTTGGCCACTGGCTATTCTAACCTCATCAGTAGGATATTTCCTCTAACTACCCCCCTAGGGTATGTAATCAAGTCCTACCAACACCTTTGAGTCACCTTTATCTCCCTCTCGTTTCACATGGTCTGGAGAAAGACTACGGTATAAGGGTCGTGATTCTCTTGGTTTTAAAGGTATATACAATGTAAATCATTCTTACCAAATGAACATCAGGTGTATCTTGTTGAAGAGATTCCAAGTTAGCCAGCTTCATCAAGTCTCCAGTTCCATCCACACCAAAATGCCAGTGTGACAATGTCTGCAAAACAAACCTGTCATCGTCCAACATGGCTGTCAAGTCATGACCTTCATAGTAAGGATTCAGAGTATTGGCGACCCAGTCCCACTCTAGACTGTGATGACAACTCTTCACAAAGTGATTTAAACTTGCAATAAAAGCTCCTGGAGCCTCGCATAGGTGCACTGATCGAAACTTTCCAGTTTTTCGTGCGATCTCTGGGATGAGATCGAAGGAATTGAGTATCTCGTGGAATTTAGTCCAAGCTTGAGTACACATCTCAGCATGAATATTCTCCCGAAGGTGCTTCACAACAAGGCCTGCTTTATGAGCTCTACGGGTGTGCAAATGCCACTTAACTATATCCATGTCGTTTAGTAGGCTCTTCTTTCGATTCAGCTCGTCCTTCAAGGAGATCATGTCTTCCAGGATGAACGGTAGTTCTTGAAACATGCTTGATGAATCCGGTAGTGCCCATGTTTCTCCACTTGATTTCAAAACGAATCTCTTGTTAAACAAGGCTTCGATTTCTCCGAGAAAATCCCCAGAGTCGTGTACGTGATGTTTTTGGTGCTTGTTTCGTTTCTTTGTTGGCATAACTGCCTAGAAAATGATGAAAAGTTAAATTTGTAACACAATGAATAAAATCTGCGTCAAAACGAAGCCATGTTGGCCGTCTGTTTCTCCATGGACTGGTAACTATACGATGTACGTTCGGATACATTTTGATGCGGGTACTTAAAGTAATAACGAATTTTCGTTACACTGCTGACCGCTTAGGTCTTCTGGGTTTGGTATTGTGCAAAAGATGGTGGATTTATCTCTTAGAAGTGGCGCTCAAATTCTTCAACAACTTCGTCCCCTGGTGAAGAGTGCAGAAGATTTAAATCTTGAGAAAAATCTTTACCAATTGACAGATGTTGGTGGTGATCCAGTGCTTTTTCTTCTAACCCAAGGAGTCAAAGAATTTTTCTTAGATAACTTTGACAGCTGTCTTTCAAACTGTCAAACTGTGATTGACATTTGTTGGGAGAAGTGTAATACAGGTCACTGGCGAGATGTCAATGTAATTTGGAGAGAAACATATTCATATGCCAGTGTTTTCAAAGCATTGTGTCTTCACAGTAGAGGAAGACAGACAGAGGCAATGAAGGCTTGTGACATGGGGCTTTTGTTAGGTGCACCCATTTTGGATAACATTCTAACCAGGATTGCGACAGAATTTCAGAAAAAGGCAAAGGGAAGTAGTTATAGTCAAGAGATAATGGACAGCACTTCCAATGACCATGATTCTGAAATCAGTTCAGAACTTCATGAAACAAAAACTTCAATGGTGGGAAAATCTACAGAAAAAAGGAAATTTAGCAATGATTCTGAGTCTGTAGATGGAGAATGGCAGTCTGCTACTGCTGATTTTACAAAAAGAAGAAAACATTATGGAATACCTATGATAAGTAAGGAGTTTGACATTGATCATGTCTTTTGCCCTTCACTAGAAGCATTTCTTACAAATTACATACAGAAAGACAAACCAGTGATCCTGGATGGAGTAATGGACCACTGGCCTGCCAGGACAACTCATCAGTGGAGCATACAATATCTTAGGACCATTGCTGGATGTCGTACAGTACCAGTTGAGCTGGGCTTACGATACACGGATGACACATGGACACAAAAATTAATGACAGTAGGAGATTTTATTGACAGTTACATTGATCCAATTGAAAAAGGCCAGGACTCGGAGATTGCTTATTTAGCTCAGCATCAGTTGTTTGATCAGATACCTGAATTAAGAAGGGACATCATCACTCCTGATTATTGCTATCTCAGCGAAGGTGATAACGATGTTATAATCAATGCTTGGTTTGGTCCAAAGGGTACGATATCACCAATGCACCATGATCCCTATCACAATCTCTTGGCACAAGTTGTTGGTGAGAAGTACTTGAAACTGTATTCCAAGACTGAATCAGAGAAGCTGTATCCTCACAAATCAACATTGCTGAATAATACAAGCCAGGTATTGTTTGAAAAAATAACTGTCTCCAGGGAGTGATTAACATCTTTCTTCCATTGGTTTTTTTGGGCATTCAATTCTCTTCAGCAGCAAGTTTGTTTAGAGACACTAACACTCAACTCATCCTGCTATAACCCAGGATGAAAGCATTTTTCTTGAAGCAACTTCTAGCAAGAAGCCCAGGGGGTACTCTACAAAGTACTGTACAGGGAGGCTCTGCCGCGAGGTCCAACCCCTTACCCTTTTGTATACCATTTTGACAAAAAAGGTACCCATTTCATGTACCCTAAATTGCAAAAAGCTACCCCTTTCACGTACTTTCATAACTGGCCTGCATTATGTCATTATCTTGTCATTTTCATGTATAATTGCCGAATAAATGTAATGATACAGCCATAACAAACATGTACATTTGTTCAAAATATCTTAATTAAAGGCCCTTTGAAATAACTAAATGACAGATTTTCCTACCCTTTCATATACCTTAACTTGTGAAATCCCTTCCTGAAGCCAGCAA